CCTTTCCACTTCTTTAATCGGTTTCTTGATGTAAGATGAAATTCATCAAGGAAGGTGCCATTTTCCTACTCAAGTACTTTTGAACTCCTCCAAAATCATTACAAATGTGTAAATTACAAATGAAACATGTTTGAATGAAATGTTCCCTATATCTATCTATCTATCTATCTATCTATATATATATATATATATATATATATATATATATATATAAGACAGGATGTGTGTGTGTAACGAATGCACGGCCGCAATTTTCGATGGATTTGCACCAAAATTTACATGCATATGCTCCAAGTTAGTGGGAAGGCCAACACTGACTTTGCATTTCCCAACTTCCATCGATAGTGGAAATAATCAATTTTTTTCATGCTTCTATGGCAGTTTTCATGTAGTTTGCAGCCATTTTCTACTGACCAGAGTGAGAGCCTATAGCTGGCCTCCACGAATAGGCAGGAAGATTCTATTGGCCAGCGTGAGAGCCAACAGCTGACTGACACGAATATTAACTAGCATGCTAGCATGTAAAAAAAATCGATAGCTGCATTCGTCACAAGTGGGAAAAATTTAAATCTGCATGGCTCTTTACTCCAATTGGCTCATTCGCTTGCTTAAACTCAACATTGATGCTGATTCTGCAGAACTGGGTTGGGTGTGAAAAAGTATTTGTTGTTAACATTCTTTTTTCATTCAGTTTTTCCAGTTACGAGTTCATTTTTAAAGCTGATCATTTTGTGTTCATTTTGTTTAGTTCTTTTTTCGTAACAGATTTAATGTTTAGTATAGAGCTTAGAAAAAATTTGCAGGGTGAGATAGGCAAGAAGTAAGGCATGTAGCAACATCAGCATGGCAAAGGGCACTTCTTTAAAGGCAAGGAAGGGCAAAAATATTTTAAGTCAAGTGATAGCGATTGCTGTATGAGTCGTATGATTTTTTTAATCAAGCACGGGCAATGCCAGGCCATGCTGCTAGTATATATATATATATATATATATATATATATATTTTAATCATCTCACCCCATGCAATGTAGTAAAGCCACTAAGACACAAGGGATTTCTGAGTGTGAAAGAACAAGCAAGAAAAAGAAACATTAGGGAGCAAGAACAATAGGATGGTAATCAGGAAGACAGTAGATAGTGATTGACATTGCATTTAAATTTTTGAAGATCAAAGTTGGAGGGAAAGCATAAACTGGAAGAGAGTCCACACAATTGAGAAGTGTGAAAAAAGAAACTGTTAGCATAGAATTTATGGTTACATCTAGCAAATTCAACCGTGAATTGATAAGAACTTGCCGCCAATTTAGCACTGTGCTTAAATTCATAAAGTTAGGTACTATAGTGAAGAGTTCATCTAAGTAGTTACCACTAAAGTATTTATAGAAAAGGTACAGGGAAGCTATGTTACAGTGATGGGAAAGTGACTGAAGTGAATATGCCTGATTCTTCTTTGGATTAATATATAATTCTAAAGAATTAATGAATTTTATTTATTATTTATTAATCTGACATATTTTTATTAATTTAAACATTATACATTTTTTAGTGATCCAGTAATGGAGTAGATGCTACGTTTACTTTTTTTTTAAGAATTTTTTTTTTGGCTTAGAAAATTGAACATTCTAGAAACCTCATGTATGATGCATTTTCATTTAATAAGATTCCTTTAATGTTCAGGACAGTAGACAAAATAAAAATACTATTTAAAAAATAAAAATAGAGTATCTACTCAAATATGAATATCCACTAAAAAAAATAAAAATAAAAATAAAATTATGTTTAGTTTAGAGTAATATATATATATATATATATATATATATATATATATATTAGGTCATCCCATAAGTTCTGTCCGAATTTTGAATAAAGAAAAGAAGTGACCAAACGTTACATTTAATTACAGATTCAATCAACAATGTATTTTCCCTGATTACCTATGACTTCCTTCCATCTATTAACAAGCTTACTAATTCCATTACTGTAAAATTCTTTTGGTTTGATTCGAATAACTCACAAATGTCAGTTTTAACCTCTTCCTGTGTTACAAAAGCTGTTTCTTTCAAATGATTCTGTAAGCTACGAAACAAATGGTAGTCTGAAGGAGCAAGATCGGAAGAATAAGGTGGATGAAGAATTTTCTCCCAACCAATCTTTTTTGACGTGATTCTTGCTGTGTGGGTTCGCGCATTGTCCTGATGAAACATCACCTCTTTTCGATTCACTAGAGAAGGTCTTTTTTTCCTCAAAGCTTGGTTCAAACGCTCTAATTGCTGAAAGTATATTTGAGCATTAATTGTTGCATTAGGTGGTAAGAATTCAAGTGGATTATTCTTGGCGATCCCACCAGATTGAAAGAACCTTTTGCTCATGAAGTTCCCTTCTTGGCTGTGGCTGGGGTCCTTCCCTTTTACCAAGCCACTGTCTACAACGCTTAACACTTTGATAAAATATCCATTTTTCATTGCCAGTCACAAGTCTATCCAAAAAAGGTGAAACAAGTTGGCGAGAATGGAGAGAAGAGCAGATGTCAACTCGAGATTTGAGGTTGTTTTCAGACAATTCCTGAGGCACCCATTTTCCAAGTTTAGGAACTTTTCCAAGTTGTTGAAGATGACGATGAACAGTTGTATGGTTTGAAATGAGAACCACTGCCAATTCCTCAACTGATAAAGCAGGATTTTCTTCAAGGGCTGCTTCAAGAAGCTTTTCATCAAACTCAACTGGACGTCCGGTTCGATCTTCATCTTCAAGGGTGAAATCTCCACGTCTGAATTTTGCAAACCATCTTCTGCAAGTTCTTTCATTCACACATTCCTCTCCTTAAACTGAGTGAATGTTTCTAGCTGCTTTGGCTGCTGATTTTCCTTTCTTGAACTCATAAAGCATCATGTGCCTCAAATGATTCTTGGGTACTTCCATGTTAGCAGGGTTTTAATCAAACAAAATTTAATTTTATTGTTCTCTGAAATAAAATTTGATCAGTTTAAATGCATCTAAACATAAAAATAATGTTCAGCTCCATTAGACATTATAAAATACTCTTTAAATTTTGTTCATTTTAACAAAAAGTTAAAATTTGGACAGAACTTATGAGATGACCTGATATATATATGTATACACACACACCACTGTACAATAGTTTGTGTTGACCCCTGGTAATTTTTTCAAATTGGCCTCAAAAGTAGTTGTTTTGTACCTTTAATAAGAGAAAGTTATACATGGTTAAAAAAGTGAGACATGATTTTTTTTATTTTGACAAAAAGACAAAAAAAATCCTTTGATTAAATTTTGCTCTCATCAAAATATCCTCCTTTAGCGTTGATTACTGCAGCATAAACTTTTGGCATTTATTGCAAAAGATTCTCAAAGTATAAGTTTGATAATTGGTTCTATTCTTTTTTCAATGACTCAAGGAGGGATAATAGATTTATAAATATGCCGTTGAATGTATATAAAAAGCTCAAGATGAGAATTACAAATTGGAGAAGTTTGAATATCTGGAAAGTGCTATAATAGAAGATAGAAAACGTGACACTGAGATCTGAGCATGCATTGGACTAGCAAAAAAGCTTTCCAAATGTTAATCAAGGTGCTGAGAAATGGAACAATTTTGTTAGAAACAAAGAAAAGAATGCTGAATTGTTATAGCATATCTTTTAAATTTCTGGGACACATAATGAGAAAGGATGACAGAACAGGGTTTAGGCAAGATAGCAAAAAGACAAAATTTATTAAGAGCTACAAAGGACAAAAAACTGTGGAGAGCCATGATCACCAATGTCTTGAAAGAACAAGATGCATAGAAGAAGAATTTGCTACAAATATGTAATTGCTTGCATCATTGTTTACTCTTCTTTTTCTCAACCCCAAACACAATATTGGATTGTTTATTCTAACTCTAACGCACAGATAAAATCGAATGTGTACTATTATTGATTCCTTTGTTCTCTTTCGCATGCGGATATGTACAAATTTATAAGAAACAATCATTTATTTCTAAATATAAATTCAGTCTGTGTGAGTTCAAAACCTGGTTAAGGCAGTGGAGAACTTGGAGAGAGGAATTAACAGTAGATAACTGATAAGTGACATCCATTAAACATGGCACTTGGAACTAGAACACCTTACCCCAGTGAGCGAAATAAAGGTTTCAGTTTGACATTCCAACCACCTGAAGAAGGCCGAAGCATACAGCGGCTGAAATGTATTAAATATGGTGACAAAGATGAGGACAATAGTCCGAATAATGTAAATAGTGTAAATTCAGTCTGATTTTTTTTTGTTTTTTTCCAGTGTTCATCTAATACAAGACTCAAGAGTCCCTCAAGGTAGAGGTTAATGTGTGATGTTGTATGAGTCTATGCAGGAAATATAATGACTCACAATTTTTTTTTATCTCACAATTCTTTTTTATCTCTTTATTTTTTACTAATGTTTACTCAATTCAAGGCTAAAGAACCACTCGAAGTAGAGGGTCTCTGTGTGGTATTGTATGAGCATAAGATAGAGCAAGAAGTGAAATTCTTAGGCTATGCAGGAAAGATAACAGCTAACTCTAGACTTGAAGAGGTCAAGATTGTTTTGATTTGGAAAACATGATCAAATGAACAGACTTTAAAAGGAACCGCTCTTTTTTGGGGGTAGGGAATTGAGGTTTGTATAAGAATCGGATTATTGTAACAGAGAAACAGAAGTCCTTCTCATTCTCTTCTTTGTTTATTGCAATGTGCCAGCCACAAGATTATGGCCGAAATGGCTTGCTAAAAGATTGAGTAAAAGGATATATAACATTCATGAATGAATGTGACATCTATGACAGCAACTGGATTTGAACACTCTAAGATAATTTGATTTTGTTTGTCATAGCCAACTGCACCAATTGGCACTGTCACCTAAACACACACACATTATTGGCCCCTGTTATGGTTGACAATGGGAAAGTAATGTATTGCATGAGCGGTAAGGCAGCTACAAGGGAGTGTTTCATGTAAGTGCTAACACATGGGCAGACACATTCTCTCCAAATGTAATCATGAATTCTCTGTCTTGCATACATGTACATACACTCGCTTTCTCTCTATTCACTCGCACATGTGTATAAACTTCCAACTTCTTTTCTCATGTATGTGTTTATTTATTTCTTTTTTCTTTTTACCCCTTTTTAGCTTTTTTCTTTTTTTCTATTCTTTTTATCTCTTTTTTAACTTTTTAACATGCTTTCAATTTTTCTCTTTTATCTTTTTTACTCTTTTTATCACTTCTCATTTTATCTATTTTTCTCTTTTTATCTTTTTATATCTTTTTCTCACTTTTCTCTTTTTATATCTTTTTCTCTTATCTTTTTCTCTTTTTCCTTTTGTATCTCTTTTTCACTTTTTATCGCTTTTTTTTAGTTTTAATCTCTTTTTCTCTTTTTATCTCTTTTTTTAGTTTTAATCTCTTTTTCTCTTTTTATCTCTTTTTTTAGTTTTAATCTCTTTTTCTCTTTTTATCTCTTTTTTTAGTTTTAATCTCTTTTTCTCTTTTTATCTCTTTTTTTAGTTTTAATCTCTTTTTATCTCTTTTTCTCTTTTTATCTCTTTTTTTAGTTTTAATCTCTTTTTCTCTTTTTATCTCTTTTTTTAGTTTTAATCTCTTTTTCTCTTTTTATCTCTTTTTTTAGTTTTAATCTCTTTTTATCTCTTTTTCTCTTTTTATCTCTTTTTTTAGTTTTAATCACTTTTTCTATTTTTATCTCTTTTTTTAGTTTTAATCTCTTTTTATCTCTTTTTCTCTTTTTATCTCTTTTTTTAGTTTTAATCTCTTTTTCTCTTTTTATCTCTTTTTTAGTTTTAATCTCTTTTTATCTCTTTTTCTCTTATTATCTCTTTTTCTCTTTATATCTCTTTTTTTTGTTTTTATCTCTTTTTCTTTTTATCACTTTTTATCCCTTTTTTTCACTTTTTATCTCTTTTTCTCTTTTTATCTCTTTTTATCACTTATTCTCTTTTTGTTTTTTTTTCTTATTTTACCTTTTATCTCTTTTTCACTTTTTTTCTAATATCTCTCCTTATCTTTTTTTAATCTTTTTTTTCTTTTTGCCTCTTTTTGTCTCTATCTCTTTATCTTTTTATCTCTTTTTATCATTTTCTCCGTTTATCCCTTTTTAATTCTTTTCTCTTTTATCTCTTTTTATCTCTCCCTCCCCGACACATTCACTTTTATTCCACTATCTCTCACTCTCTCTCTTCCACACTCACTTCTCTCTCCTATACTTAAGCCTTTATTCTCTTCTTCTCTCACTCTCTTTCACTCTCATTCTCTCCCCTGCACATATGCCTTTATTCTCTTCTTCTCTTACTCTTTCTCTCTTTATCTTTCTCTCTCTGTTGCACACATCTATCCACTTACATGCAAATATGCAGTCCCACACACTCTCTCTCACACATTCTTGCTCCCCTACTATTTTTTTGTCATTCTATCTCAATTTCTTGTGCACGCATTCATTCTCTTCTTTCTCTCAAACACATACACACTCACTTTCTAATCACTCTTATACACATTCACTTTCTTCTTTCTCACACACAAGTGTTTCTCTTTCTCTTTCACATGTACACAATGATTCTCCCTCTTTCTCTTGCTGTCGATGCCTCAGTGTAGTTTAATGATTATACTTGTGTCTGCAATAATTGTATTCAACTTCTGCTCCTATTCAAATCCCAAACCCACTGTTGTCTATTTTTGTAGAAACTGAAAAGAAGAAATTTCAGTTCTAAGAAAATGATCATTTAGAATTGCAAAATTAATTTGATCTTCTTCTATGTACCGCGCCCCTTCAGAATCATGGCTCTCCACAATTTCCTGTCCTTTGTAGCTCTTAATATAAATGTTATCTTAATATAAATGTTATCCTAAACCTTGCTCCTCCATCCATTTACACAAGCTTACTAGATAGGCTATGCATTGTTTGCCTCTGTCTTTCTTGCCCTCAATCTGTCCCATGAGTACCAAATTTTCCAAACCCTCTTTCTTCATTATGTGCCATAAAATTTTCAACTACCTCTATCTGATGTTATGTATATGTATCATTTAAGTTTCTCGCATATTCGGTCAATGGTATCCTCGTCATCCTTCTGTAAAACTGCACTTCTGTTGTTTCAAGTCTCTTCGTTATCTGTGAAGAGACTGTCCAGTATTCTCTGCCATTTCTCCCAAGCCCAGTTCCACCATACATTTAGTCAAGCTCTAAGTATGTTATGTATTGTTGTATTCTTTACCTCTTTCCCTCAATCTGTCTTTTGAGTATCAAATTTTCCAAGCCCTCTTTCCTCATTATGTGCCCTAGAAATTTCAACTCTCTCTTCCTGATGTTAAGTATAAGGTTCCTTTTTGTTTCAGTTTCCTCTAAAACTTCTGTGTTGCTCACATGTTCGGTTCATGGTATTCTCAGCATCCTTCTGTAGATCTGCATTTCTGTTACTACAAGTCTCTTCTTCATCTGTGAGGAGATTCTTCAGCATTCACTGCCATATAGGAGGATTGCTATTGCATTCAATACTCTTTTCTTTTTTTCTAATTAAATTTTTATCTTCCTGAATATTTTACTTCTAAAACTTCATTTAAATTATAATTTATTTATCACAAATCTACATCATATTTTAGTTATGTACTCTTTCCTCATTATTTTCAAAATAATTTAAAAGATATAGCTGAGAAAAAGGAGGGCTTGACTGCATTTTCAATATCAGTTCATGGCTACAAACAACAACACATAATGGTACATGAAGAAAGGAATACCAAATGAAGTAAATTACAGTCTTGTAATTTATATATTATCGAAGAAAATTGCTTTAACTCTTTTGAAATAATTCATTCATTCAAATAATTTAATTTAATAGAAACCCCTTTCTGCCTTCCATCAGCATGGCTAATGCTAACCTCCCGGTGAGTGACTCATTGCACCTTCTCAGGCTAACATTGTCAGACAATATGAAGTGGAAAGATCATATTAACTCCATTGCTAGTTCTGCTTCTAAGAATGTTAGCTCACTGTGTCATGCTAGACACTTTATCTTGCTTAAATTTATCTTGCATATTTATAAATCTGCCATTTATCCATGCTTTGAATATTGCTGCCAATTATGGGCTGGTGATCTTGCTATATATTTAGAGATTCTTGATAAATCTAAAGAAGAATCAGTAATATTATTGATCCTGACCTGGCATCTCAGTTTCAGTCACTTTCTTACTACTATAATGTAGCTTCTCTGTGCCATTTTTTAAATATATTTAGAGAGTCTTGACAAAATCCAAAGAAGAATCAGTAATATTATTGGTCCTGACCTGGCATCTCAGCTTCAGTCATCTTCTTACTGCCATAATGTAGCTTCCTTGTGCCTTTTCTATAAATACTTTCATGGTAATTGTTCAGATGAACTCTCTGCTATGGTACCTAGACTTTATGAATTTAGATGCAGTACTAGATTAGCAACAAGGTCTCAATCAATTTACCATTAAATTGGATAGCTATAACCATAAGTTCTACGCTAACACTTTCTTTTCTTGCACTTATCCCTTGTGGAACTTTCTCACATTTCATACTTTCCAGCCAACTTTGATCTTCTAAAATTTAAATGCAATGTCAATCACTATTTACTGTGTTCATGATTTCTATTGTTCTCTGTCTTTAATGTCTTTCTTTTTTCTTATTCTTTCACACTCAGTAACCTTTTGTGTCTTAGTGGCTTTACTATCTTGCATAGGGTGAAATGGTTAAAAAAAATTAACCCACTCCTCAAATTTGTCCACACCCACTGAGAAAATGCCTAACACCCTACTTATTCAAAAATCCACATTTTACACTTTTTTTGCTTTTCATCCAACCTATCATATGTTTATAGAGTTTCACAATAGTGATTTGTTAGTTGGTTGTAATGAGAACATCAGCTTGTTTGTCCTTATTCTCATTCCGAGTAGCAGCTGGCCTTCCACTGTGGAGCCTATGACTGAAGTCAATTTCTGTATGATTGCCATCAGATCTACTGACACATCTTATTGTGCTTACATCAAGTGCAGCCTTTCCATAAATGTTCCCTGATCTCTTTTGAATACTTGACATACTTGCTCTTTACAGAAACAGAAACTCTATGATTCATGGCTTTCGACAAATACTGTTTTTTTCTTTTCTTTCTCCTTGTCCCATAACCCACCAGGGTTGTAGGGGCATTATATGGGGGTGATGATTCAGTCTCTGGTCAAGGCTTTAGTCTGGGCAAAACTTTTGTCGGTCCATTCAACAACTTTTCTTTTTTACCATCTCTTTCTTTGATGTCCTCTTCTTCCTCCTTTTACCATTCCCTGTAGGATGGTCTTGGAGAGGCCTCACAGTCTGTCCATGTAACTTCATTTTCTATTCTTGATGGTGGTCAACATGTTTTAGAGTTTCATGATTCACTCTTCTGCATACTCTTTTTGTTTGTGACGCAGTGTAGAAAATACCAAGTAGATGTATATTATCTCTGCAACTTGAAGCCAGCTTTGAAGTTCTGCTTTCAGAGTCCATGACTCACATATATACAAGAAAACTGACAAGACAGGGGCATGTAAAATTCTCTTCACATTATAAGCCTGTCAAGTCTCAGATTAGTCCAAATACTAAGCATGTTTTAAGCATGAAGCAATGCCCAGATTTTTTAATGCAACATTATTAACCTGAAGCAAAGACCAGATGATTTAGGCAAATTTATCTTAAAGTAATATTTTTACCTTTTTCAAATTTTAGGGATGAAATTGGACTCAAACTTGAGAACTTGATGAGCAGAATCAAGCCTGGCTAAACTTAACTGGTGCAAAAAAAAGACAAGAAGAAGCTGTATTTAAAGCCAAAGAGTAGCAAGGCTAGCTTGATTGATTCTTACTATTGAGTACTGAATTTGATCCCCACTGGGTGTCCCATATGAAAATTCAACACTAAATAATCCAATAGTGTGAGGTTATGGTTACCGAGGATAGCTTGATTGAACATTACAAACTGAGGAATGAGTGCGCTCTTCTTTGGGTGTTCCATACATAAATTTGCTATTAAATAACCTAAAAGTTGATATGTCATAAAATCAACCAACTTTATGGTATAAGGTAATGGTCACTGAGGCTAACCTTGTTAACATTACCACTGAGTTTGATCCGCAGTAGGTGCCTCAGACAAAATTTGATATTAAACAACCTAAAGGTTGACATGTCATAAAATCAATCAACCTAACTTGTTATGAAGTAATGGTTAGCGTGGCTAGTTTTATTGACATTACTACTGAGTAGAGAGTTTGACCCTCACTAGGTGCCTCAGACAAAGTTTGATATTAAATAGCCTAAAGGTTGACACGTCATAAAATCACCCAACCTAACTTGTTATGAAGTAATGGTTAACAAGGCTAGTCTTGTTGATATTACTGCTGAGTAGAGAGTTTGATCCTCAGACAAAGTTCAATATTAAATAACCTAGAAGTTGACGTCATAAAATCATCGAACTTAACTTGATATGAGGTAATGTTTAGTGAGGCTAGTGTTGTTGACATTACTACTGTAATAAGTTGATCCTCACTATGTGCCTCAGATTAAATTCAACATTAAATAACACAAGGATTGATGTCTAAAATCAACCAACCAGTCAAACTTGTTTTTTTAATCCAAATAAACAATGAAGATGTATTAATGTGTAATACATTCTCTTTTAACTCCATTTAGATTCCTCTAACTGCGTTAGGTTTGGCTGATATTGTTCACATAGCAAGTAGGTTATGATGAGATGAAGTGGCCAGGCCACTGGATATGAATTCAGGGTTGTATTTCTACTAGACTGGTTGAAAACCAAGTCAAGAGAAACCAGTCTGCCCTGCATAGCTGTGGGAAAGAAAGGATTCATACATTTTCTACAAGTATTTTGTGGAAGTGAATGAACCAGATTCAACTGAAATTTGAACTTGGTAAACCAATTTCACTTATTGTGCCAATAAGGGCACATCAAATAAAATAATATATCATGTACTATGCTAAGATATAATGTAATGTAATATAACATAATATAATGTAATATAATATAATGTAATAAAATATAATAATATGTAATATGATATAATATATGATATAATATAATGTAATGTAATATAATATAATAGAATATAATGTAATATAATATATAATGAGATATAACACAAATATATAGTTTAATATAATATAATGTATATATGTAATGTAAAATAATATAATGTAATATTGTGTAACATAATATAATGTAATATTTTGTAATATAATGTAATGTAATATAATACACTGTAATAAAATATAATGTAATTCAATATAGTAAAAATATAATATGTAATAAAAGATATGATGTAAAAGTAATATAATACAATCTAATATAATGTAATATAATATGATTATATAATGTAATATCATTATAATATATATTATAATGCCATGTAATGTAATATAATATATTATAAAGTAATGTAACATAATATAAATATATTATATATAAAGTAATATGATTTAACATAATGTAATATATAATGTAATGCTATATATGATGTAATATAATATAATGTAATATAATGTCATATAATATAATGCAATAAGATAATGTATAATGTAATTTAGTATAATGTAATATGATATAGCATAAGATAATATAATGGCATATAATATAACATAATGTAATATAATAAAATACAATATAATGTAATATAATATAATATGATTTAATATAATGTATTGTAATATAATATAGTACAATGTAATGTAATATAATGTAATATGTAATATAACGTAAAATAATGTAAATTAATGTAATGTAATATGATGTAACATAATATAATGTAATGTAGCCTAATGTAATGTAATACGATTTAATATAATTATAATGTAGTATATTGTAATATATAACATAATATAATGTAGAGTAGTATATTGTAATATATAACGTAATATAATATAATGTAATATAATGTAATGTAATATAAAATCTCTACTAAAATATTTGCCTGGCAAGAAAATCTTGTGATTCAGTCAATCCTTTTTATTTTCGTATTTTGTAAATAAATAAAAAGAAACCTATCCGATTCTAGGAGAGCCACTTGTTTTTAACTGAGAATAAAACATCATCTATTTTCGGTTATTTACCATAAGCTTTGAACAAATATATTTCAAAGACTGAAATACATACAATCAAGGATTTGAACGTTAGCGCTTACAATCTCAAGTGCAGCACTTCACCAGCCGCAAAGATGAAAAAGAAAGGAAAAAAAAATAGCGATACTTACACTTACCTGATAGATTATCTCTGATGCTGATTGGCCTTTCATTCCGAATGCAGAACCCTTTTGTTGATAAGCTATATTCTCCTCGGGATAAAGTCCTCTTCTGGCTCTTGAAGACGAACTGGTTCTGGTCATATCCTGATCTGTAGTTGGAGTTGCTGGTGTGCTCGACCAGTATGTTGCTTGCATCGAAGGACACACATAATGACTGTGTTCATTGACGCATTTGCAAGAAGCGCTTAGAGCCGCCCTTTGTGCCGCGGTCTTTCGCTGCTTACAACGAATTATACAAATAGAGACTCCGGCAGTTAGGGGCACAGATAGTGTAACAGCCACCAAAACTAATACTATCATGAGATACAGGTGGATTTTATCGGCAGGTTGGGGATGAACGGTGTTGAGGACTTCTGTTGTTTTGTTGCTGACGGTTAACATCAGAACCATGGCGGTCGTCGCTGATAAAGACGGGGTCCCGCTATCTTTGACAGAAAATTCAAGTTCATACATACCAGAATCTTGGACGGAGATCTCACGCGTGAACGATAATAAACCTGTGTAATGGTTGATGTTGAAAAGCTGTTTGTCGTTTCCTGTGACTATTTCATACTTGAGGAAGGCATTCTCGCGGCTGTCCCCGTCGAAGGCCTTCAGGACGGTGATATTGTTTGAATGGTGCGGGTAATACTCTACATCGAATGTGAAAGGGTTAACGCTTGGGAACGTAAAATAGGGGGCGTTGTCGTTTTCATCACGGACTTCAACGCTAACGTTCACGGTGCTATTTAAACCTGGTATACCATTGTCGTTAACTAGAACCTGGAATTTATAAACGTCTTGGAATTCGTGGTCCAGAGACATGACAGTCGATATGATTCCATTGTCTGAGATCTGGAACGGCAAAAAATTTCGTTTGTTGGTCAGAAGGGAATAGGTCAATTTACCCCCAGGCCCCAGATCGGGGTCTGTCGCATTAATGGAACCGACACGCGTCTTAGGATTTTCGTTTTCGTAAACCCAAAATTTGTAGGTGTCTTTAAATAACTGAGGTCGCACGTCATTTACATCCATTATCTCGATGGAAAATCTCGTGTCACTATGTAAAGGTGGAGAACCTTTGTCCTGGCAACGAATCGTCAGATCATGGTGATCAGCTGTTTCTCTGTCCAATGAGTTTTTAACAACCACTTTGTATTCTTTGGTCCCTAAGCTCTGCAGCTGGAATTTTTCGTGGTAGAGATCACAGCTGACGTCACCGTTTGGTCCAGCATCGTGGTCAGTAATGACAACATACGCAATGAAACTGCCCACTTTGATGTCCTCAGAAATGGTAGCTTTCTTTCTATTCGAGCCGGATACAAAATTGACGTCTATTGTTGGTGCATTATTCTGTTGGTTGATCACATTGACCAGAACCATCGCAATCGAACTCAGAGGAGGATTTCCCCCGTCTGTGGCTTTGACGTACAGTTTATACTTCAGTTTCTGTTGGTTTGGTATTCTCTTCTGCAAGAAGATCTCACCAGTCACTTTGTTAACTTTGAAATACGACTGTGCCACATCTGAGGTTTTGGAACTAAATTGATAAGTAATTCTTCCGTTTTTATCCGAATCTAAATCTCTTGCATATAAAATAGCCACCGGCGTGACTACATCATGCTCGTTTTTTATGGAAACGTTATAGACATTCTGTGAGAAAACTGGTGGGTTGTCATTGACGTCGGTGACGGAAATCTGAACATCTAAGACACTTTGCTGGAGAGGTGATCCGCCATCTTTGGCAATGACTTGAACCATGTAAGAATCCCTCACTTCTCTGTCAAGCCTCTTTTCCAAATTTATACTCAGGTCGGAAGTGCCGTCCAAACTTTTTGAAACGGACAGCATGAATGGATCATCGAGATTCTTTTTAAGTTCGTACGTGATTTGCGAGTTGAGGGGTCCAACGTCTTTATCTATAGCATTGGGAATTGATCTTCTTACGCCTTTGCTGTCGTCTTCAGAAAACTTTATTTTTACCTCTTTGACGGGGAACTCGGGCTGGTGGTCATTGACGTCCTGAAAGACTACCTTAATCTTGAGGATTTTCATAAACGCCTCGTCACGACGGACGGCAACTTTTAGGATTTGAGAACACTCTGAATTTGGCCGGCAGAGCGTCTCGGCATCGACAATCTGGGCGGTGTACAGCTTTCCTGTCGTCTTAGATACACGAAAGAGCTGCATGCCCTCGACGAGGCTTTGTTGTAAAAGGCTGTACCTGATAAGCTTGCGGTCTTGGAGGGGAACCTGTTCAGGTAGGTGTGTGTCGGCAGCAATATCTCCTACTACGGTTCCTGGGCTGTTGCCTTCTTCCAGGTAGTAAGTGAGGTCCACAGCATGGTTTATGTGAAGGACGGAGAGAAGTGTACACAGCAGCAGAGGCGTCTTCACTTTATTCATTGTTTAATTTTTGTCTTCTTTAAGGATGAAGACGGTTAGCCAAATCGATCACGTGATGACAACCAATAAACCTAAAAGTTAGAAAAAAAAATATAATTAAGTAATGGTAGCAAACAAATTCATTAATTTTTTTAAAAAATCATTTCATTCTAAGCAAGGCAATAAAGACACTGGGATGCAAGGGGGTTACTGAGTGTAAAGGAATATGAGAAAACTTATTATTAAAGATACAGAACAATAGAAGAACAAGGGTTAAGATGACAGAAGATAGCGATTGACATTGCATTTAAATTTTTGAAGATCAAAGTCAACTTGAAAGCAAGAAACTAGAAGAAAGTTCCACAAGCAAGAATTTCAATAGAAAAAAAACTGTTACCATAAAAAGAGACTGTAAGTATAGAACTTAAAGTTACATCTTGCCATTTCAACTGTAAAATGATGAGACCTTGCTGCCAATCTAGTACTGCATTTAAATTCATAAACTCTTGATACTGTAGTGGAAAGTGTATCAGAACAATTACCACGAAAGTATTTATAGAAAAGGCACAGGGAAGCTACATTATGGCACATGGAAAGGAGCTGAAGCTGAGATGCCAGGTCCAGACCAATAAAATTGCAGATTATTCTTTTTGCATATAAAATATCAGAGTATAACTGTGAAAATGAAATATTTAAATTATAAATCATTTAAATTATTATGCAACATATCTCCATTCCTACAACTCCTTTGCCATGGAGGTAAAATTTCCAAGCCTATCATTATTTCTATGGCAAATTCTTTAGTGCCACAAGGACAGATTTGTGCCACCAAAATCTGCCTTGCTACAGGATTAAATTCTTTTAATTCCTTACATATTATTTTGGTAAGAAAGATGTTCCACTTGTGAAAGCTTATTTCCAAGAAGTCAAACACTACAGTCTTAAACTCTTCACGTTAAGCATTATCCTTGAAATCTTCATTTTCTCCTATTAAGTCCTTATAATAAACTTTATTTAGTAACCATCTATCTTGAGTGGCTCTTAGGCCTTGTATTGGGAGAACTTTAGTAAAAAGAAAAAAATTAAAAAGAAAAATATAGACAGCGACAATCCGTGAGGTTTAAAAGCAAGAGTGATAAAAAAAAAAAAAAACAATACAAAGACAAGTAAGCTCGGCTAGGTGATGCATTTAGAGACTCTAGTAACTTAAAGCAAATCCAAATTTGGAATCTAATTATCTATTACTTTAGCACTAATAGAAAAGCTGCTTTTGAAGTAACATCTTCTAATTCAGACTTTAAAGGATACAGCTGACAACATCCGAATAAGTTGCTATAGTATGAAAAGAAACGACTTTCACAGAACGACTCCCAAAAAAACAGCTTATCTGATACAACTAACATGATTTAATTAAAATAGACTTTCAACAATTTTTGTTACTCTTTTGTTGATAAAAATTATAAGCAAAAACACAGAGAATGAAATAAAAAGTGATTAACAACTTCTAAGATGACAACAAATATCTGATAGAGGATTTATTAAACAAATACATCAAAACTGTCACTCTAATGATTACATATATAGTGGCATGTCTGATATTACTAAAATTATATACAGAAATTAGTGAAAAATGATTTTACTATAGCAATGTATTGTAAACAGTTTTGCTATATGTCATATAGGAAGAAAATGAGTATCTACCGACACCAAGGTTCAAGCATACACTCTGGACTTATGAATATATGTTTTTCGCCAGGTGTATAAATAGCAGTGTCAGGCTACTAACTGGAGTGATTATTGAGTAACTATTGAGTGGAACTATCCAGTCAACTTAGTGTGAATTATTGTGCGTCGATGATTTGGGTTTAGATTTAGGATTTACTGGATGTTAAGCCGAGCTGTGCTACTAACAAGGTATTCATTCAAGGTTAATTATCTTTGATAGACTTTTACTTCTTTGTTCTTGTTAAGTAATTATTTGCAGTTGCAATTGAATACTGTTTTATCTTAACATTGAAGTCTTGAGATATACTTAATTATTAATGGTTACCATACGTCACAAAACTATAGAAATTCCAAGACATTTTGATAGTAAAAAATTTTCCAATACTATGTAGCAAGGGTGTATTGTTGATGTGTAAAACCCTGTTACTCTATTCATTACTACTCATGAGTAGTTGAGTTTGATCCTCTGTGGGTGCTCTAGATTTGAGCCAACTCTAAGGTAAATATATATATATATATATATATATATATATATATATATATACACAGAGGCAGTCAAAGTTTGATAAAGTATATTGCAAAGAACTGTTAAAAATGCTAGATGACCTTAAACATATTTGGGAAGGATATTAGAATAATCCAGAAACTATAATGACAGCAAATTCCTGCAGACAGATAATGAATTCAGTAAATAAAAACAGATAGAAAAGGGTGTAAGACAAGTACGGGTCTTCTCGCCAGACTTATTCAACCTCTACAGTGATGTGATTCTGAGAAAATTAGATGACCCAACCAGGATTCATTATTGATGACAACAGTCTTAATAACATAAGATATGCAAAGTGTTGATAACAGATGCAGAATGAAAACTACAAGAACTTTTCTGAAAGGAGTGAAAGAACTTGAGAAGAAAGAACAATGATGCTGAGAATACTTCAGACTGAAGATGTGAGCAGTGATAAATATTTAGAGAAAATGGAAACAAAAAGAACACTTATCAGAAAGAGAGAGTTGAAATTTCTAGGGTACATAATGAGGAAAGAGAGATTGGAAAATCTGATACCCACAGGATATAATGATGGAAGTGGGACAGAGGCAAACAATGTTAAAGTGAGCTTGAGTAAATGGATGTGTAACGGGGGTGATAATTTGGGTTGGTATAGTAGTAATCTTGACTTGATATTATTTGTTAACTGTAATGGGGTTGATATTAATGACAGAAATTAAAATGCATAAAATGTACAATATTAACAACAATAAAAACTTGAGACATGTGTTGACATAAATAACAAGAATTTGTATTTTCTTTTCATGATGTGAATTACAGAATATTTGTATGGTGTGTGTAAAAATGTTGGCAGTGTCTCTTCTGTTTAAAAATCAGTGCTTACTTGATTTGGTTCCAAGACTTTTGTTTGTGAGGATGGTTTGGAAATCATCTGTTTTTGATCTTCGTGGAGTTCTGGCTAGACGTGTGTTTTTGTACTGCTACTTGTCTACTTCTCTACTGACTACTGCTACAGGTACCCCTATTCTATTCTACTCTACTGATTCTCTTGTGGTGGAAGAGTTGTTTTTATAATGATGATGATTATGATGATGAAATATCCTTCTTTTCTATCATGAATGATGGCAAAGTTATTATTAGAATGATGAAATATCATCATCATTCTCAATAATAACAGATGGCAGGATAGAGTTTTAGGAGAGATAACAAAAAGACAAAATTCATTAAGTGCTACAAAAGACAGGAAATTGTTGTGAGTTGTGATCATCACCATCCTGAAGGGATATGGCACATAGAAGAAGATATTATAGCTTAATTTGAATCCTGAACATATAAACATTTTAAATTGTTTGATTAATGCCCACCTATATTACTACTACTCCAATATTTTCTTGCTTAGCATATTTTCATTTTTTAATTTGCTTTTAATTTTTTTCAATTTTATTTTTTCATTTTCCAAATTTTTCTTTTTCTTTTTTACACTTTTTCTTTTTTTTCTTAAATTTTTTTTATTTTTGTTTTAATACTTTTTAATTTTTTTCATTTATTTATTTATTTTTTTCATTTTCTGTATGAGAAAACTATATATTTTAGGATAGGAATAAATTAACATTTTTGCGGGGAGTGAGGTTGTTTTTTTTTACATTTCTTTTTTTTATTTTTTCCTTTTTTATATTTTTGGTATTAGTAAACAAATGGCAGCTTAAGAAAAGAATTGATGGCCAAGCAACAAATTCAATGCAGTATGTGGGCAGAAGCAAAAAGACAGTGAATATCACCAGAAAATAAACAATTATTATGAAAAATAAAACAAACATTTTTTTTTTATTTACCACATAGAAAATAGTAAAGCCACTAAGATGTAATGGGGTTACAGAATATGAAAGAATTATCCAAGAAAGTAGTCATAGAAAATACACTGGGAAGCTGCATTATGGCAGTGGGGAAAAAGCCAGAAGAGAGTTTCACAGGCAAGAAGTGCAAGAGAAAAAAGTGTTAGTATAGGACTTATAATTATATCTAGGCATTTTACCTGTAAAATGATGAGACCTTGTTGCATTTCTAGTGCTGCATTTAAATTCATAAAGTCTTGGCACCATAGTGGAAAGTTCATCAAAACAATTGCCATGAAAGTATTTACAGAAAAGGTACAGTTAGGGCAGCAGGAAAAGTTTTGAAGCTGAGATGCCAGGTCATGACCAATAACAAATAAATATAAGATCGGATGAGGTTATTTAAATGCATATCTTTGTCTAGATATCACATATTGTTTCAGTGGGAACAGGAATAATCTGAAATAACCCTATGGTGTATTAATTAAGGAACTCATATCATGACACTTTCTGTGCACAATAAAAGTAAAACGTCCATAGTTGGTGGGTAATGTGTGTGTGTGTCTTCACAGTTTAATGAGCATCTTTGCGACATATAGATGGATTGCCCGGAGAGTACAAGTGGCAGATTTAACAGTTGGCTGGATGTTCATCATGGGTCACCAAGTTCAATCATTGTGTTTCCTTTTCTATTTTCATTAATTATAGAATTTTTTTCCTTCAGTTCTTTTTTCCCCATTTGTCTGCACATTGGTTTTTCTGAGCTTTGCAGTGACTGGACATTGTTGCAGAATTTGACAAAAATCAGTATGAATTGATAAGTCAAAGATGAAGAGAAGAAGAGATTTGAAGCAACAGAAAGCTTGGTGTAAAACGATTAAAAAAAAAAAAAACATGCTCTTCGCCTTCTACAGAATGTTCTTCATGTATGTATGCATATACATATATCTAATATG